TCTCCTGACCCGGCTCCTGTTCTACGGGTCACTGGTGTTGATGTAGCAAACCCTCTCGACGTTGCCATTGAACTTGGCACACATCTGGTCCGTATTTCCCGAGGGCTCCATCTATGCCCCTCGTTTCTTTCCTCAAAGTCTGCCAGAGAGTTTAGTACCTTGGACTTTTCTTCTCTCAGAGAAGAACAGTATAATGTGCCTTTTACACTTCAAGAACTGGAGGCCACGCTCTCAGCTTGACGATCATCGGCAGCTGGGCCTGACGACATTCATATTCGTATGTTACAACATTTACATTGGTCAGCCCTTGTAGTCCTCTTACACCTCTTCAATCTTATTTGGGCACAAGGAGTTCTTCCCCAGCTGTGGAAATCTGCCATTGTTCTCCCTTTCCGCAAACCGGGTACTACAGGACATGATGCCTCCCACTATCACCCCATCGCTCTTACTAGTGCAGTTTGCAAAGTGATGGAACGTCTCGTAAATCGACGTTTAATGTGGTATTTAGAGACACACAACAGTCTCTCCGCTAGTCAATATGGCTTTCGTAAGGGTCGTTCTACCATAGACCCCTTACTACGCTTGGATACGTATGTTCGTAATGCCTTTGCGAATAATCACTCAGTTATTGCCATATTTTTTTGACCTTGAGAAGGCATATGACACAACTTGGAGGTATAATATTTTGGCCCAGGTCCATTCCTTAGGCCTCCGAGGCAATCTACCATCCTTCCTTAAGAACTTTTTAACTGACAGACATTTCCGTGTTCGAGTCAATAATGTTCTTTCCCCGGACTTCGTCCAAGCTGAAGGTGTCCCTCAGGGATGTGTTCTAAGCACAACACTTTTTCTCCTTGCTATAAATGATTTGGCCTCTGTTCTTCCACCCAATATTTGGTCATCACTCTATGTTGATGACTTCGCTATTGCTTGTGCAGGCGCTGACTGTCACCTTATTGCAGTTTCTCTCCAGCATGCGGTCGACCGTGTTTCCACTTGGGCCACCACGCATGGGTTTAAATTTTCAAGTACCAAAACTCGCCAAATTACTTTCACTAGACGCTCTGTTACTCCGATCATCCTTTGTATCTCTATGGCTCCCGTATCCCCGAACGTGATACAGTCAGGTTTCTAGGCCTTCTCTTTGACCGTCGGTTATCCTGGAAACCTCACATTACCTCTCTGAAGGCAACTTGTCACAGCCGGCTAAACCTTCTTAAAACCCTTGCTCATCTTTCCTGGGGAGCTGATCGTCGAACTCTGCTTCGCCTACATTCAGCCCTCGTTTTATCGAAACTCGATTATGGTGACCAGATTTATTCCGCGGCCTCTCCTGCTACTCTCTCTAGCCTTAACTCTATCCATCACCAAGGATTACGTTTGTGTCTTGGTGCTTTTCGCTCTTCCCCTGTTGAGAGCCTCTATACAGAAGCGAATGTTCCATCCTTGTCTGATCGCCATGATGCCTATTGCCTTCGCTACTATGTACGCTCTCACGATCTACACAATCCTTCCATTTGTAGAATGGTCACCGATATTAGTAGACATTCTTTATTCGTTCGCCGCCCCTGTTTGCTCCGTCTCTTTTCTCTTCGCCTACATTCACTCTTGTCTTCCCTTCAGTTACCACCTTTATATGTTCATGTAGCATCTCACTTTTCCCTACCCCCCTGGGAAGTTCCAGCTGTTCGGGTCTGTTCTTTCTCACTCCCTTGCTCGAAAGCTCAACTGCCTACGGTGGCTTCCCGCTCTCTTTTTCTTGATCACTTCCACTCCCATTCTCATGCCACCGCTGTGTACACAGATGGCTCTAAGTCTTCAGATGGCGTCGGATTCGCAGCAGTGTTTCTGGACAGCGTCGTGCGGGGGCATTTACTATCTTCAGCTAGCATTTTTACTGCTGAACTGTATGCCATTCTTGCAGCACTTATTCGTATCGCATCTATGCCTGTGTCATCATTTGTAGTAGTCTCAGACTCCCTTAGTGCTCTACAGGCTATACGAAAATTTGATACATCTCATCCCCTAGTTCTCCGTATCCAACTTTGGCTACGCCGTATCTCTACCAAACATAAAGATATTGTTTTTTGTTGGGTCCCTGGTCATGTCGACGTACAGGGCAATGAACAGGCAGACACTGCTGCGCGGTCAGCAGTACATGACCTACCGATTTCCTATCGAGGTGTTCCATTTCTGGACTATTTTGCTGCAATAGCTACCCACCTTTGCACCCGTTGGCAACAATGTTGGTCAACTCTGCTCGGTAACAAACTTCATTCTATTAAACCGAGCATAGGTTACTGGCCGTCTTCTTGTCATCAGTGCCGAGGTTGGGAGACCACTCTCTCCCGCCTTCGCATTGGCCACACTCGTCTTACTCATGGGTATCTCATGGCGAGGCACCCTGTTCCTCTCTGTGAGCAGTGTCAAGTTCCAGTATCGATTAGCCACATTCTGTTAGACTGCCCTCTCTATCAACGAGCACGCAGAATTTACCTCCAACGCCGTCTTCATTCTACTACTCTCTCTTTACCTTCCCTTCTTGCTGATGGACCCTCCTTTAATCCTGACTCTCTCATTGACTTCTTGACAACGATTGATTTACTCCACAAACTCTGATGATACTTTTCGCACTCCCCTCAGCCCTTTCTAGTTCAGTCTCTTGCTGCCCTTTACCCTTTCACCATCCACTACCCCGCTGTTATCCGTAACCTATTACTCATCCATCTCCCTTTTGCCACCTGATGCCCTCGCTTCCTTCCTGCCCTGCAGCGCTGTATAGTCCTTGTGGCTTAGCGCTTCTTTTTTATTATAATAATAATTGCAGTAGTCTGCATAACAGTAAATCTACTTTTTGTGTGAATAAAAATTCAAAATGGAGAGCAAGAGTATTATAACAGGGGCCTGGAAATGTGACTGATGAGCAGAGAAAATGTTATTTTGGTGCCAGGAATGTCTGCTTTGTTCATTCTGGACCCTATTTTGAAATTGACATATTTTCTAATTTGCATGAAATTGGCCAAATTGCCAATTTCTGACCACTTTATTGGGTAGTTAAAATCGGTAAATGAGCGGTTTCTCGTACTCAATTGATAGAACAAATGGAGTTCTAAAGAAATAGCTATGAGTTTGGTTGACTGGAACAATGGAATTGGCCAAAAATAGGGCTCAGTGGGCGAAATCGCCGATGCGTAAATGTCGCCAAGGTCGCTAACTTCACGCGAGCGTAATTCTGTAAGTTTTCCATCAAATTTCGTACTTTTGGTGTCATTATCACCGGGAAAAGATTCTCTTTCATTTCATAAGATTTTTCAAATATTTTGTGACACCACGAGACACTTCAAGACTTGGGGTTGTGACAGTCAAAGGATTAAGGATTAATGGATGTCAATAACTTAGAATGTGGGGTATAATCAGTTGTACTGGTGGTGACAATACCAAATTTTAGAGGACCTAATATGATTGCCCAGGTGTGGTCAAGGGAAGATGCAAGGGACTTAGTGGTTCTCAGAGGTTTGGTTATTGATGGTATTAATCAGCAATTATACATGTTTAGGAAACCAGCAATGTTGGTCTGTAATAATTAATAGACAGCTCCTTATGTAACTGAGGTCTTGAAATTTCCCTTAGCACTCAACATCACCTTTAACCCCTCTAACCTTACCCGAGACAACACACCCCATCTTTCCATTTCTCCAGATTTATACACCCTCCCACTCATCCTATTTTGTTCCATCCTCTCTAAATGTCTAAACCGGTATGATACCCCAACTGAGTGCAAAAAATACAGTACATATTTAAATACACATGAAAATGTTACTAAAAAAAATTTGACTGCTTTTCCCACGACAGATAGGCTGGAAATGTACTTGAAACATTGCCAAGGTATGTAATCAGTGTTTACAAGTGGGGTTTATACCACTGGTATGAATGATTGATTGAACAGTATTTCAACATACATAACAAATTTTGTTATTGACTTTTCACACTTTGTATATGATGCCTACTAGATCAGCTAGAGTTTTTGGCATTATTTTGCCGTCTTGAACTTGGTAATGGCTGATTTTACGTAGATTCAGTTAGCGCTTGTGTTACAGTCAGCAAAGTAAGATTCCAATGTAATTTTGATAAGAAATGTGAATTACTAAGACTGGAATTCAGGATATTACCAAATATTAATTTTGGAGCACTCTGTATACTGCTGCTTCTCAGCAATGTACTCATTTACCAACGACTCAGACTTATGACGGGCTCTCTGACCTTTATGCATACCTAAATAATGTGTATTTGAGCTGATTTCCTCTATTCTGTTTATTACAATGTACAGTACACTACTGTAAAAACATTTAAAAATATACTAAAAATGTTGTAAATGGTGCCAAGGTGACATTAAAACAATATCAAAGATAGATGACACAAACCCACTGCCATTATAGTATGTTCCTTGCTTAGCAATGAATTCATTTACTGATGTGGTCTCAGGAATGGAACTCCATCGTTAAGTGAAGAGAGGCTGTATTCTAGAAAACACATTAACATTTTCTTGAAACCAATGGTAGGGAAAAGAAGTAGCTAGAATTCCAGTTTATTATAAAGTTTAAGGCAACAAATCTTGTACATACAAGAAATCCTTAATTGGTAATCTCAGTGGCAAATAATTTTGTACTTACTTTATTGAAACCTAACCTGGCTTTTCCTTGTACAGTACTGCAGTATGTTGTATATAAGGCGTAATTACAATTTGGATAATTGAAAATCAGTCTGACCAAGATTTGGTTTCTGTTTCCAATACCCTATGGATACCTATCTCTACTTATTACTGTAAATATTTAATGTACAGTATCAAACATGCTAAGTTTATGATATGTAGACAGGTTGTTTGATGGCATTACCTTCTGGTCAATATAACTTTTTTATTATCAATGTGGGTGTGTGGGAGCCATTCTTTGTGGTGATGGATAAATACTTTGTCTATGCTCTGACACTTCTTGCCATTGCAGACCCAGCACCACCAGTGACCACGTCTGAACCTGACTTGGGTGAGTCTATAATGGCCACCTTAAGCCTGAGAGAAATAAATAAAACAAACATGCATGCTGGTTTTATATTGCTATTTTATATCCTCTGTATATGTTTTGTATGTAGATTCTTCATTTATTTACTCCAAATAAGTTTGTTTGCAGGATTCCACAAGAACCATCCAATGTGCAATCTTGAACAATTGCTGACTTCTTCATATGCATCCCTGGATTGCTTAAATACTTATTAAAATCATTGGTAAATGTAATTAATTAGGTCTTCTCATCTAGGATAGGCTGTAAATTTGATACACTTTCGTACAGTCATAATGCATAGCATCCCTGGTGAACCACAGTATTTTTGTTACTTCAAGGATTGTCAGTGAGTAGTTTATGAACCAGGGAGTTGAAGTTGCTCTACTTTCTTGGGTCAAATTGATCTCATTCCCTGGGTGCCTATGACCCCACTAGAAATTTATTGCTTCCCCATAAATATAATCGTACAGTAGCATTGATCTGGGTTTGGGACCATGCCTAGGTGGTGGTGATCCCTAAGTCGTCTTCAGATAACTTTCATATGCAATATTTAGTTATTTTTTTGACAGCTGTGATGCAGCAGTGAGGCGTCTTGGGTTTAGGAGCTGAGATGATAGTTATTATCTTACTAGTGGAGTTCTGGCAATTAGACAGCTGCATCAGTGTTTGTGTTGATTTCTTTGTTAATATGGTTTTTATGCAGGTACATAATTGTTTCAACTAAGAGGGTGGCTTCTTTCTTTCTTTCAACACACCGGCTGTATCCCACTGAGGCGGGGTGGCCCAAAAGGAAAAACGAAAGTTTCTCCTTTTACATTTAGTGATACATACAGGAGAAGAGGTTACTAGCCCCTTGCTCCCGGCATTTTAGTCGCCTCTTACAGCACACATGGCTTACGGAGGAAGAATTCTGTTCCACTTCCCCATGGAGATAAGAGGAAATAAACAAGAATAAGAACTAGAAAGAAAATAGAAGAAAACCCAGAGGAGTGTGTATATATATGCTTGTACATGTATGTGTAGTGTGACCTAAGTGTAAGTAGAAGTAGCAAGATGTACCTGAAATCTTGCATGTTCATGAGACAGAAAAAAGGACACCAGCAATCCTACCATCATGTAAAACAATTACAGGCTTTCGTTTTACACTCACTTGGCAGGACGGTAGTACCTCCCTGGGCAGGTGCTGTCTACCAACATACTACCTAGGAAGAGGGTGGCTAATAGCTAGATTAACCTTTAATGAGAAATTTGCACCCTCTAACTATTTAATGTAATCTACAAGGGCTGATCATAAAACCTTTGCATTCATTATCTTTTCTTCACAAAAATACAATTAGCTTCATTGAGTATTGTCCCTTGGTTACTTCTAGACATCGCCAAACTTACTGAGGCACTTAATGTATTACTAGTTTGTTTATGCCTTATGCATAGAATTTTTTCAGCTGATTGCATAGCCATTGATGAACTACTGTCACCACATCTGTGTTGAAACCCTGTCCTCCCAGGAATTTTTCAGAGGTCTGAACCAATAGAAATAGGGTGAGATAGGGCTGTAATTTATAATTTTGTCAGGAAAATTAATTCATGCAAAGACG